CATACATACATACATATATACATACATACATACATATGTATTTGACAAATGTAGCAAGCAGGGACTCACTTCCCTCATATCTTAAAGATGTAGTTCAGATCTTTTGAAAAGTGAGGCTTTGTTGACAGGTAATGCATAATATTTCTCTAACTTCTTAACAACAAATTTTTGAATGGCTACAATTTGGAGAAAAAGAGTTAAATTCTCATAAAAAATGGATGAGCTAATGGTTTGTCCGCATCAATATATGTTGATTAATGATTATTTGATGATTAATGATTCAATTACATCAATGCTAAACAAAAACATTGCTCCATAATGTCATCAAATGCACAGTGTGGCTTGATATGAGTCAATCTAACACAATGTTTTTTTTAGATTGAAGCTGGTGTTTTATGCACCAAGTGCAGATGTGGCCAAATAACTGCATACAACAGGTAAAATACTAACTGTTCATACATTTTCCAGAGTTTTACTTCAAGAGAATTAAACTATGATTTTAGCAAAAACATTTCTGTACATTTTTAGGAGTAACTGCACATGTGTTTTTTTCTCCTTCTTTTTTACAAGATTACAGGTAAAAGAAAAAAAGTACATTTGCCAGAAGAAGCAGTGAATCCCTGTAGATTCTTATAACATTTTCTTCTTAATTCAAAAAAGTTTTTTTCTGAGTAAAACATTTTCTCAGTGCAACAGTTTGGCATGATAACAAAACCACGTGAGATTAGAATTACTCATAAAATATTATGTTGTGTTTCTTTTGGCACAGTCAATAAAATTGTCAGCAGATTCAAAGTGATATAATGTTAAACTTATTTAACATTATTTATTGTTGTTTAGAAAGTTAAATGCTAGCACATGCATAAAATAAAAAAGGATAAAACTTAAAATGTCAAAGCATTCTTTCAAAAGTGGCTTTTTGCCACCTCTGTCATCTTCATGCAGGATCTCCCTCTTCTCTGGGACCCTCCACCCCGTTCACCTCACTTGAATCTCTGTCTCCTCTGCCGCCACTCACCTTGGCATCACAGAGTCTCAGGAAGTCCACCGAGAGGTAAGCTTTAATGCCATCGATGGCTCCGGGCAGGGTGACTCCGCGGAGCAGCAGCACAGTCAGGACCACGTAGGGCATGGTGGCTGTGATCCACACAACCTGAAGGAGGCACACAATATGCACACATATTATTATCTGTGAACCATACATTTACAGAGAAGACAAAAGAAAAGCACACATACTTTTACACACAAACAGGTAATATTAAAGAAGCAAATGTGCTATAACTATTTATTAAACGGTTCAAAGGATTCATGACTCAGGCTAAGTACGTTGAAGTAATCTGGGGTTTTCTCATAGAAATAAACATTGATAACATTTGCTGCTATATGTCCTACCTTCCCAGAGGTCTTAACGCCCTTCCAAAGACTGAAGTAAAGCAGAATAATCACCACAGCCAAACAGGAAGTCAACTGCCAGCGAGGACGGCCAAGGTCATCAATACCATTACTGTCCTGAATATGAAGGACCCCTCGTCTGGGAGAGACAAAATCCAGTGAGTGACATCTGCGAGTCATAAAAGTCCTATATCTAACAGCTTAGCACTTTCTCAGCTCAGAAAGATATTCAGGTTTAGAGGCTCCTCAAATCACTGTGAAAAGGTTGTGAACGGTAATACTACATGTTACCTGTTGTACAAAACCCTCCGAATGGCCCCTATTTCAAAGTAGATTTTATTTCTAATGGCCTAACAGCTAATCCAAGAAGGATCAATTGTAAGTAAAGTGGATTGCTGCTCTCATAAAATAACTTGTAAAAAATAAAAATAAAAATAAATAAAAATGACCAATGGTGAACCATGTGTACACTATTTTATTAATTTTTAAATTAAGACATTTTGGCAAAAAGTGAATCAGGATAAACCAGAAGTGTTAGAGCTAGCTGCTGCCACTATGTTTGCTTGCAAATCATATCTGAATTCTTTCCAGATAATATGAGACTGATGGTGATGAAAAGGTTTCTTAAACGGTACTCAACATTTTTGAGACCCATCAAGTTTTGAGATGGCAGCATTCCATTTTTATTTTGGCTGCACTCAGACTAACTATTGGGTTATCAGTCAGGTCACAATGAAACTCCATCCCTCCAGCACAGTTTGTCCAGTAAGCTATGAACAACAGGTAACACATTAATTTTCCATAACATTTCCACAGAACACCATTTCAGACAATCTGAAGTATGCTTTTAAAGTTAGATTGTGCATTATTTGCACAACAAAGACAAGTTCAAGAGCTGCAGCTACTGTTACATGAGTAAAAGACCTTATGTTTCCAAGGAAAATAGATGCAAATAAATCATCTCTGCATTGCAAACAGAAGAGGTTTATTGGTTTATTATAGCTAATCAATATTTTCACTTTATTACTAAACCTCATACTACACACACACACACACACACACACACACACATATATAT